GTTCCGTACTGGTCCTAGGACAGCGGTTCTCAACCTGTGGGTCACGACCCCTTTGGGGTCGAACGACCCTTTCACAGGGGTCGCCTAAGACCATCAGAAAACACATGTATAATTACATATTGTTTTTGTGATTAATCACTATGCTTTAATTATGTTCAGTTTGTAACAATGAAAATACATCCTGCATATCAGATTCATAACAGTAGCAAAATTACAGTTATGAAGTAGCAACGAAAATAATTTTATGGTTGGGGGTCACCACAACATGAGGAACTGTATTAAAGGGTCGCGGCATTAGGAAGATTGAGAACCACTGTCCTAGGAGATGAGCAAGGTACAAGTAGTATTTTTTGTTCATGCCAAATCCACTTTTGTCCCTCATGGTGCACCCGTTCCATCGGTATAAGTTTACAAACATTTACCGAACATTTGCTCTGTGTTCAAACTTGGTAGGTGCTTTAGAAAGACAAGACACAGTTTTGACAGTCTAGGGTTCTCAGTCTGGGTTGGGGGATGTGACATGTGTACAGGATTCTAGAAAAGAGCTCAGGCCAGGTAAGCAAGTTACGAATAGTGCCTTGTAGGCTGGGTATCCTCATTTGCAGAAAGTTCCTAACTTTCAGTGGGCTGAAATGCTCTGCACACGAGTGAACAAGACCCTGCTCTTCAACTTTACTGGTGTGTGAACTAAAACAGCTTATTTCAGCTGGGAAGTTTTTCAAACACTAAACATTTAATAGTCTTTGTGGCCACTCTTTGATACTCCAGGGCAACAGAAGGTTGTGGTTGGAAAAGGTAGTACGAGTGCCAAGTGGTATAATTGGAAAAGTACCTGCCTCGGAATTAGGTGAACTGGGCTCGCAGTTCTGTCACTAATTTGCCCCGTAACCATTCATTCATTATGTGTGCAAACATCTGACTGTCTCATGTGTCAAACCCGGCGCTAGCGCAGAGACACAGCAGCGAACTAGACAGACAAGGACCTTGCCCATAACTGGTGACTTTGATTGACGTGTCTCTCAACTGCTTAGGGCTCTGTTGTTTCTTCATATGAAGAAGGAGGGGCTGGATGAGCCCTAAGTGTTCTTCTAGCTCTAAAAGTTAGCGGTTTTGGAGCGGGGGTGGGGTGGGGTGGGGGCTCCTTTTTTGGGAGAAGGGTTAATAATATGGGGATCTCTTTTCTTTCAAAGAGATGATGGTAGTAGAAGAGCTCTCATGATAGCTGTGGGATACAGTGTAAATGGATTTTTTTTTTCCTAGGAGGATATATGTGAGAATACAGAGGTCAGGACTTGCAACCTTAAAGTTGTTAAAAATTGATTCCGGAGGGGAGACAAAAACATCTTAGATTTTACAATGGTGTGTGGTCCTTCAAAGCATGGTTAACAACATCTCATTTCTTAACATTAGGTTTTCTTGGGAATTACACAAGCAACATTGACATCAGGTTCATGAAAGGTAGACAGAAATTGTGCAAGGTCAATACCACAAATCTATGGCAAATAGATGGCTCCGACTGGAGGACCACCAGTTGCTTGATCTTGAAGTTGTATCTCTCTTGGTGAACTCCTCATTCTTAGGGGCTTTTGGCCGCCCTTCTTGCTATGTTTGGCTCTCTGTGCTTTTGTGTGATTTTGGATTTGAGAATTAAATAAAAATAGTTTGTTTACATTTTATTATTTGCCCACCATCCCCCTGCACTGAAGGGTCCAGGGTTCGATTCCCTGTCAAGGGCAAGTATCTAGGTTACAGGTTCCATCACCAGTCCCATTGGGGGGTATGTAGGAGGCAACTCATTGATGTCTCTCTCTCACATTGAAGTTTTTTCCTCCCTCCCTCCCTCCCTTCCTTCTCTCTCCTTGGGTGAGGAGGATATATTGACAATAACTGAATGAATATCTAGTACCTAGTTAAATTAAAACAAGAGTTAATTTCATTAAAAATAACTTTTAAGAAGATAATTTTTCAATTGGTTTACCTTTGCTGGAAAAATAATAGTTTTGAATGTCTTTTAAAAATTTGGTGATATTTCTATTATGTAGAAATTGGTAATTTGCACATGTAAATTGATACATTATGTTTTATATTAAAATTCTATTAAAAGTTACTCAGCAAATACAGTTACAAAGTTAAATGTTCATAGCTCTAAACATTTAATAACTAAAATTTTTTATTAAGTCAATCTGAATCCATTAAACAAAAAAAGTAAACTATATTTGGTTGTTTTATGTATGAAGCACAGCTATAGCTGGGTGCTGTTAAATTTCATGGGGGAGTGTAGTTAGAAAAAAAATGTCTAAAAAGGCTTCGTAGGGGGCAATAATGAAAAAAAGTTGAAAATCACTGAATTAGGTAAGGAATTGTTTCAGATGTTTTATTCGCCTACTTTTTGGGCCCAGAATTTTTTTAAGCCTCATTCTGATTTAGAAACTTTGTTCTTTGGAATTTTAGGTGAAGTTTAGATCAAATTGATTGCTACAGTTTCTTAGAATCAGCTTCATCCTTTCATTCCATCAGTCACCAGTGTTTCTTGAGGACTTAGGTCAGTGGCTGCACATTAGAATC